ACACAACAGGAAAAGACACCCACACCACAAGGTTTGGGGTTTAAGAAAGCGAGGAAGTTTGTAGAGTGAGGATAGAGGAGATCCACCGAAACACAAGAGGGAGGAGAAGCGGAAGGGCTTCAGAGATCGGGAGGCAGGCACTGAGAAAAGGGGGGAGGGTAGACGGCGTGCGAGGGAGGCAAAGAGAGTGGATGGGAGGAAGTGCAGGTGACAACACAACGTACAGAAGTCATGGTGCAGAGATGGGTTAGTGCATGAAGTAACACACAGCAGCAGAAATTAAACTTGAGACGTCTCAATTCCAACCTATATCACAAGGTGGGGTGACAACGTAACATACAGTAATCATGGCGCAGAGATGGGTAATGCATGAAGTAGCAGATAGCAGCAAATGAGATGCCTGCATCACAAAAAGCACCAAGGAAGTCGACAGGGAAAGGAGAAGGAGAAAGAGACTGCGTTGAGAAGTGGGAGGACACGCAAGGCCTACTTGCTTCTTTTCATAAGAGAGTGGAGATACTACACGAAAAAAGAAGCAAGCAAGTAGGCATGAGTAACCACGCACCGACGAAGCTGCCAACGAAACCATCAAAGTGGAAGTACCAATAGTCATTGATTCGCGTGATTCCAATGGCCACTCCCCCCACCAGCGGCAGCGCAGACGTGTGTGTATATATTCCATACATATATTACGCACCTATAAGACTGCCAACAAAGACGTCAAAAGGAAAGTGCCAGTAGTCATCGATGCGTGTGATTCCAACAGCAACCCCCCCCACCAGCGGCAGCGCAGGAGGCAGCAGGCGCCAGAGGTGAGCGGAGGAGGAGGAGATGGAGTGGAGCTTGGCTGCCAGAAAGAGAGAGAGATAGGCCAGGCCTGAAAAGGACACTGCATTTGGAACAGGAAGGGGAGGGGGGGGGGGAGGAAGGGGGAGGGGGGGTCTGAAAGGGGCTGGGGATGGGACAAGGAGGGAGGATGCGTACATTCAATTGATGGTTCACAAATAACAAAAGAAGGCGGAGGTCTAAGAAAAGGTGCAGGTCAGGAATTGTAGGTCATAAAGAGGAAGCACAGGGGCGTATGAGATGAGGCACACACCTACCTGGACGCATGGCCACTTGGAAAGCTCTTTCTTCCTTCACTAACAATGGACGGATTGCCGTTACACAACGCATTGCCACTGCTGCTGTACACCTGAAGAGGAAGGGAGGAGGGCGAGCGAGGGGAGTTGAGATGTTCGAGTGTTCCTCCAGTGATTTACAGCAAACGTTTTCTATCACAGAGTACATGTTAAGAATATTCTTACGCAAGACATGGAAACATGGCAACCTGGTAGCGGCAGGGTGGTAGCGGCAGGGTGGTAGCGGCAGGGTGGCAGCGGCAGGGTGGTAACGGCTCACACACACACACACGAGACGGGGTGCACAGACAGTTAAAAGGAATGTATGGACGAGGAAAACGGCACGAAAACAGCAGCTGACTTGACTTCGAGGCACTTCAAAATTCGACAAGGAAACAAAAAGCTGCTAGCTTGACTCACAGGGACTCCCGAGGGAAAGCATCTGATGAAGAAATCGGGGCGGGGGCGGCCGACGGAGACCTTGAGAGCATCGGTGATGAGCAGCGTGGAGAAGAAGGCGAAGAGCAGGCCTGGTGGGGGTGAAGAGGTGAGGGGGAGGAGAGATTGCAAGGACTGGATGTGAGAGGGCAAGAGGTGAAGAGGGATCTTTGAAAGTTCTCCCAACCGAGACATTGAGAGCAGCGGTGATGAGAATGGTGGAGAAGAAGGCGAAGAGCAGGCCTGGGGGGTGCAGAGGAGGGGGGTAGGAGAGATTGCAAGGACTGGATGTGAGCAGCCTGGAGCAGCACACCTAGCATGGTTTGGAGTGGCTTGTCAGTCAGCTCACAAGACGACAAGTTCAGTGCGCCGCACCTAGCATGGCGTGGTGGAGTGGATGTCCACAATGTCCCATTGACCTTTGACCATTGGCCGTTGACCTTTGACCATTGACCATTGACTTTTAACCATTGAGTCGACTCACAAGCCAACTCAGCGCGTCCCAACCCAGGGTGGAGTGGTGGATGTCCACGAGGTCCCTGCGGAGTGGCTTGCAAGTCAACTCACAAGACGACACACTCAGCACAACGCACCTAGCATGGAGTGGTGATGTCCACGAGGTCCCTGCGGATGGTGTAATGTACGAGGAACGCGATGGCAGCAGGACCCAGGGCGATCACCTGGTGGATACATTGTTACAGATTTACAGGGATACAGACTGACAGATTTACAGGGTTGCAGGGAGGTGAGAGTGAAGATGGCAGGCAGCGAACTCAAGCGGCTTTAAGTCTAGTGGAGAGTCACCGCTTGGTAGACACAGGGTTACAGGAAGGTGTGAACGTGGCAAAACGTGATAACTCGAGCTGACGCAGAGCTGTGAGACCCACAATATTGCTGCTGCTGCTGCTGCTGCTGCTGCTGCTGCTGCTGCTACTCATACTGGTGCATTCAACATTCAAGCATGAGCTAGACACCAAGATTCAGAATTGAGAGAAAGTCCGGATGCAGAATCTAGACACAACTTGCCAGATTAGAGTATTGCACACTGAAAACGCATTTAGAAAATTAGAACTGATATATGTACGCAATCTTACCGGGACAGCCCATGACGGGATGGTGTTGTCCAGTAACGGGTACATCAACCCTTCCATGTCCTCGGAATCTACGAATCTCGGAAACGGCTCGATGAAATTGACGGCGATTGCTCCGGCGACAATAAGCAGCAGCACACCCCAGTCGACAGCATATTTATAAAAGAGGGCTTTGAGGGACCCGCGCCGCCTTGTGGCCTGACCGTCGGTCGCCACGTCAGACATTTTGCGTCAAACGTACGTCAAAACAGATTCTTTTGAAAAGAGGCGGGTACTCTAGCTACATGCGAAACCAGTCTTTTTAAGCGCCTCAGAAACTAGAGGCGGGTGATTCAACTACATGCGAAACCAGTCAGGCAGGCAGGAACGCGGGACGGAGATGACAGACAAGACGCTAAATGCCAAACAAAACGCAATACGAGGCGAGGAATGACCGACCCTGTACGGCTCTCAAAACAGAATCCACACCGTCATCGCCCAGGCTCCTCTCATCCTAGCCATCCTTCGTGGTGGCGACAGGACTCAGGTGGAACTGGGAGTGGATGGAGAACAGCCATGAATTCTGCTGCGCAAGCAGCCATAATAATGATGGAGGAAAGTACAGTTGCCCAAACTTGAAGGAGCAGCAACAAACAGTGAAACAAGAAGTGCTTGCGAAAGACTAAACCATTCTTGCGAACATTGTAACAATGATGCGAACAAGCACGAACATCATCGCCCTAAGTCGCCACATTTGTTAATTCGCTGGTTTCTGTTTCTTGTGGATTTGCGATGTCTTAGAAGCTTCTCCGATACAACTGCGCGAAATCGTAGAAGCTTTCAGTTCCGCCAGCTCAGCTTACACTACAAGCTTGTCGGTGCATACAGTGTGCTAGGTACAAAGCTCAGCATAATTTAGAAGCAAACGCTAGCTCCTTGTCAGGGAATCAATGCCACATGAACAGCACTGCATTTAACACCTCAGAATCTTTCTCGGATAGGGTTTCCTTTTCTCTCAGCTTTACCAACTACAGTATTTCACATCAGAACCTGTTGTATCCTCTACACTCCACTAGGTTCAGTGGGCTCTCCACTGGCTTCATTGGGCTCTAGGTCCGCAGCAAGAGCTCTCTTGCCCCCACAACATGAAACCTGACAAGTTTCCGCATCTGGGCCGAGAGACAGAAGCGGAATGTCACCTGATCATACAACCAAAGGGTAGATGCCCGGAGCAAGAGGAGGGTAGCAAACGGTTTTGGAACAAGAAAGCTAGTTGCGTGATGGGTGGCAAAGCAACGAAGTCTGGTGCAAGGAAAAAAGGTGAGGTATGAAGTTCATGGAGAACGAGGGACAAGCTAAAAAATTTCAAATATATCAATTAGGTCAAATGAGTCAAGATGCACACTTCTGGTTGGAGAGAGCAGGGTAGTGCAGGAAGAAGCAGATGCCTTTTGAGGCACCTTAAAAGAAGACATGTCAAATAAGACAGTGCAAGACTTACAGTTCTGGTTGGACAGTGCAGGGTAGTGCAGGAGTAGCAGATGGCTGCAACCACCATACCTGCACAGTCAAGGGTAGTAGACGATGTTTGGAGAGGTGGAATGCAACAAACAAGTGGGCAGGAGGTAAGGACGCAAGAGGGCAAGGCACGAAGGAGGTGAGGAGGTAAGGAGGCAAGGCATGGAGCAGAAGAAAAGGTCGAGGAGATGCCAACAGCGCAAGCACCTGCCTGGACGACAACCGCCGTCCTACACTGGCCGTGGGGATGTGGTGGATCCCTACAACCCTCCTCTGAACTCCTGCCCGAATGCACCCATGCAATCATGCCCTCTTGCTCTCAATGCACCCATGCTCTCATGCACACAGCATTATGGCAATGAAGACGTCGACGGGGAAGTGCCAGTAGTCATCCACTCGCGTGACACGAAGAGCACATAGCACGTGCAAGGGGGGTCGGCCTACCTGTAAATGAGCCCTTACCGATCAACCCTCCCATGAACACGCCAAAGGGGAAGTGCCAGTAGTCGACGACTCGAGTGATGCCCACAGAAGCAGCACCCGCCAGGCAGCATGCCGACGGTACTAGCCGCCACAGCTGGCCCCTCCCCCTCGAACCCGAACAGGCACGTGCCTAGAAGTGAATCAGCCCTTACCTATCAACCCTCCCACAAAGACATCAAACGGGAAGTGCCAGTAGTCCACGACTCGAGTGATGCCCACAGAAGCAGCACCCGCCAGACAGCATGCTGACGGCACCAGCCGCCACAGCTGCCCCCTCCCTCTTGTGCTGAAGGCCTGCAGCTTGGCTGCCAGGAAGAGTGCAGCGTAGGTCAAACCTGAGAAGGACACTGGGAAAGAGGGAGGGGGAAGGGGAAGGGGAATGTGAACTCAGGCACCAGATACCACAGCTGCCCCCTCCCTCATGCACTGAACGCCTGCAGCTTGGCTGCCAGGAAGAGAGCAGCATAGGTCAACCCCGAAAAGGACACTGGGGAAGGGGAAGGGGATGGGAAGGGGCGAGTGGGAAATGAAATCAGCCACCAGCCACTATAGCTCGCCCGTTCCTCCTGCACTGGACGCCTGGAGCTTGGCTGCCAGGAAGAGAGCAGCATAGGTCAAACCTGAAAAGGACACTGGGGAAGGGGAAGGGGATGGGAAGGGGGAAGTGGGGAACAGGAGGGGCAGAGGAAGACGAAATGAGGCCCCTTCCGCCACAGCTGCCCCCCCCCTCATGCGCTGAAGATCAGCACTGAAAAGCGCTGCATAGGTCAAACCTGCAAAGGACACTGGGCAGGGGAGGGGACGGGAAACGGGTGGGTGGAAGGGAATGGGAAAGTGGGAAACAAGGAGGAGAGACGGTATGCAAACGATGGGTGTACATTTTCCAGAAGAGGAGAGGTGGAGCATAGGGGTTGCACTAGATGGGAAGGTAAGGGATTGCATGTGGAGAGATCGTTGTGGGAAGAGGAGAGGAGAAGGGGAGAGAAGAGAGGCGAGAGGGAGAGTTGGAGGGAGAGGAGGGGAGGCGAGGGGGAAACGAGGGGAATGGAAGGGGGAGAGGAGGGGAGCGGGGGGGAGTGAGGAGGGGAGGGGAGGGGAGAGAGGAGCGGAGGGGAAGGAAGAGAGGAAGGGAATAGAGGGGAGAGAGGAGGGGAGGGGAGGGGAGAGAGGAGGGGAAGGGAATGGAGAGATGAGGGGAGGGGAGGGGAGGGGAGGGGAGAGAGGAGAGGACGGGAAGGGAGTAGGAGAGGAGAGGAGGGAGGGGGGTTGGTCTCACTGGAGGTGTGGCCGCTGGGGAAGCTGACTCTCGACTCCATGACACTGGAGGACGAGCCGTTGCACTGTGCGTTGCCATCGCTGCCGTACACCTGGCAGGCAGTGCAGTAGCATGTGTTGGGGAGGGAGAAGAGAGAAGGGGAGGGGAGGGAGGGGAGGGGGGTTGGTCTAACTGGAGGCGGGACTCTAGTTTTGAGATGTCTCAAAGCTGAGTCTCGACTCCATAACACTGGAGGACGACCCGTTGCACCTGCCATGCCATGGGGACGAGAAAGGACAGACGTTGAGCAAACCAACTTGGCCTGAGCGTTGCACTGTGCGTTGCTCTCTGCCGCACACCTGCCATGCCATGGCAAGTTTGAGGGAGAAGAGATGGAGTGAAAGAAGGGAAGATGAAAGAGGCAAAACTGACAAGCACTGCACTGTAGTAAGCGCTGCATTGACTGGTGCTTTGAGAGGTAAACTGTATGGCATTGAGTTCCCAGAAGGCAATTTCTGGATGCACTGTAACGTCTCAGACGACACTTGCGTGACTTGCAGCACCTATCACCCCGACATCATACCCGTGGCCATGGCTCGGAAAAAATTGATAATGGGAAGAACGAACACGTGTGCCCAGATTGTGCATTTGCTCAAGAGCTGGACTCACAGGAATGCCCGAGGGGAAGCAGAGGATGAAGAGATAGAGTGTGGCCGGGTTTTCTCCTGACTTGACTGACAAGTCAGAAGCAATCTTGACTGGTGCATTTGCTGAAGAGCTGGACTCACAGGAACGCCCGAGGGGAAGCAGACGATGAAGAAGTGTGGCCGGGGCCGGCCGATGGAGACCTTGAGAGCGTTGGTGAGCAGGAGGTGGTCGCACAGTTGAAGACATAACCTGAAGGGGAGGCAGGGGAAGAAGCAGGAGAAGTCGGGTGAGGGATTGGTGTGGGGACAAGCGCCGGGGCCGGCCGATGGACACCTTGAGCGCATTGGTGAGCAGAAAGGTGGTCGCACAGTTGAAGACGAAACCTGACGGAGGAGGGAATGCGAAGGGAGGAGTGTTGAAACTTGAAAATGAACTTTGTGAGGTGAGCGAGGCCTGGGAGAAGGGATGCGAGTTGAGGGCAAGAGAAGGAGCTGATGACGAATTGTTTGGGCAAGTGCGAAAGACACCTGCCTTTGTGTGCCGTGAGCGGGTTGGGGGAGGGGGAATGAGCCACGACATGGGCTGCTTGGAGGTTATATCAGAAGCGACAAATCACAACTCCGAGGGACAAAAATATCACAACTGACCGAGGAACGAAAAAAGCACAACTGACCTGGCTGATCACGAACTGACCGAGGAACGAACAATACACAACCGACCTCACTGATCTCGACTGACTGAGGCACAACTGAACGGGCTGATCACGAACTGACCTAGCAGAGAGCTGTGGAAGTCGATGAAGTCGCGTCGTACGATGAATGCCACGGTCATCGCCAGCAATTGAGACCCAAACACGTACCACCTGAGCTTTGAGTCGACTCAAAACGAGATTGCTTGAGTCGACTCTAATGTCACCACTGACCTAGCAGCGAGCTGTGGAAGTCGATGAAGTCGCGTCGTATGATGAATGACACGGCAATCGCCAGCAATGGAAACCCAAACGCGTACACCTGACGACGATGGAGAGAGACGTAAGAGAATAATAGGGATCGATAACATTGCAAAGCGGATTTCTTCATAAACGCACTCCCGTCCAGTCTTGCCGACTAGCCCAGCACTTTTGAGCATTACGAAACTTCAAGGCCTTTTTATTTTGGAAAAGTGAGGTGGAATGCTTTCGCCGTCTACCTATAATGCCAGTGGAAATAAATATCTTTAGAAGCTAGACGTCGAGAGGGTAATTCAGCTCACCGGGACGGCCCAAAATGGTACCGAGTCGGGCTTTAACGGGTACATGTACTTTTGCATGTAATCGGCGTTAACGAATTGCTGGAACGGATGGATGGAGTCAATAGCGATGGATCCTGCGGTGATAAGGATAAAAACGATCCAGTCCAGAATGTGCGGACGGAAAACGTCCCACATTCTGACAGACTTCGGTGTAGGATTGACGGACGTCTGAGACGGTCGTTCGCTCGTTGCAGCATCGTAGCCTGCCATAACGGCGTGGTTGCTGTACTGGCTTGATTCTCTGACTGTAGGTCTGGCTTACGTGGTACTTCTCTGTAGGTAGAAACTTGTGCTAAGCTATGGAAGAGTTGATACAAGCTCTGATTGCAAGAAGAACAAAGAATTGAAAGTGTTGCCGCGAAAAGTCACCGAAACATGGAAGAACAGGCTCCGAGATTCTCAAGCAACAATGGCGTGAGCAAATGAGCCAGGAACAGTTGGGAAGTGACTTGTGAATCTCAGGTTGTTGTAATGCGATGCATATGGTCGCTTGGAGGGCCGGACTGGATAGAGCCAAAAGCGAAGGAGAGTTGTGAAGAGAGTGGGATGAGAGTGGGAGATAGGCTATCCCGTCACGGCAAAGGAAATGACGACACGATGGCTGGCAGTCCCTAGGTTCGGCCTTGGGTGTTCCACGACACCGACCAAGCCGAACCACCTTGTTCACCGTGCTCGTGGCTCGCATGCTCGTTCCGCACCTCTTTTCCGCTCTGGAGCAACCTCGTTCGGCAGAACCAGGGCATCGATTGCATTTTCTGCAGAACTTCCAGCCAGCTCACAACACATCGAGGCGAATCGCCTGAAGTTGCGGCACGAAATTATTGGCCCAAAACGCGATGACCTCCTCAATACAAGAATATCTAGGATAACGCTAGAGACATTGTAGTGATAGCATATAACCTGAAGCACGGTATGCCCTCAGATACTAATTTCATTCCTATGGGACCCAACCCATTTAAAGCAAGCAATAGTCTAAAAAAGGAATCAGATATGCTCTCGGACACTTTATAAATGGCAGCAGATGGTGATGTATATGTACAGAAACAGACCAATGTTCCAATAATTCAAGACACTGTAGATTTTAAGATTTCTTGGCATTGTCTACACTACATTTATTATGTGAACGTGGTAAAATCCTTCTCTTCGCCCTTTTCCCAGCCTCAGCCTTCCCAATTGACCCTCCCTCAACTCCCTTACATCCTTCCCCACCACTCCGCGCCTCTTCCCGCCCCGCTATTTTAGCTGCGCTCCTTCTCTCCCCTTCCTCCGCAGCCCCCACTCACGATTTCTGTTCCACTCATCAACCACCCAGCAGATAATGCCAGGTCAGCCCTAGAATCTCTTAGCATTTATCACCCGAAGGCACGTGGACTATTTTAGGAGCGCTTTGCGGCACTGCCTTGCTGCAACTCAGTCCATGGAGCTCGCAGTCGGGTCCGCGCCGCTAGCACGGCAAGTTACCGGGCTCTGCAGTGCGGCCCAAACCGCAAGCGTGAAAACCGCGAGAAACAGTTCCGCGTCCGCTCCGCGATGGACAGTCTCGAACCGCGCTCCGAGCAGCCGTAGAAGCCTAACGTGCCGCGCATCGATCTCGAATGGCGCCAGCAGAAATGACGTGTTAGGGTTTGATCCGTCGGTACTCAGTCTCGGCGGCGCGGGATTCGACGTGGCGGGTGCTAGCCAGTTCCCCGCGACGCGAATGAGCGCGGAGCAGACGATGCCACGGCTCCAGGACATGGACCCCGCTTCGATCCTCCTGAGCCAACGGATAATCTTCCTCGGCACGCAGGCAAGTTTCACTGAAGCTTGAGTTTAGAGTCGACTTAAAAGTCAGGCCGCGTCGATCCTTCTGAGTCGGGGGAATTTCTCGCACGAAACGCAGGCAAGTATACATAAGTGCGAGTTTAGAGTTGGCTCAGTAGTCACCCGGCGTGGATCCTCCGGTGCCAACGAATAATCTTTCTTAACGAGGAGGCAGGCTTGAGTGTATACTCGACTAAAAAGTCAGGCCGCGCCGATTTACCCTGATCCAGCTGCCTCTACTCCTCTCTCCTTCCCCTCTTCCCCCACCCTCCCCGCCACCCTCATCTTTCCCCCCCCTCCTCCCCCCTCCCCCCCCCCCCCTCCCCCCCCCCCCCCCCCCTTCCCTCCCCCGCAGGTGGGCATTTTTTTCCGCGGATCTGCTAATCAGCCAGCTACTGCTGCTCGACTCGCAGGACCCGACGCGCGACAATCAAGCTCGTCATCAACTCGCCCGTGTCCGCCCTCTTACTGCCTCCCTCAGGTGGTCAAATTTCAGCGCGTATGTCGCAATCCAGCACTCCTGACGTCTGCCTTCTTCCCCCCACCCCATTCCCCCCTCCCCCTCAGCAGGCGGACGATTTCAACGCGGATCTTTGATAGTCCAGCCAGCTACTGCTGCTCGACTCGCAGGAGCCCACGCGCGACATCAAGCTCCTCATTAACTCGCCCATCTCCGCCCTCTTACTGCCTCCCGTCCCCCCTTACTGCCTCGCCTCAGGTGGTCGATTTTCAGCGCGGTTTTTCATTGATCTCGACTTCCTGAGTCTACCTCTCCCCCCTTGCCCTGTCCCCCTTTCCTCTTCCGCCCTCTTCAGGTGGACGACTTCAGCGCGGAACCTCATTATCAGCCAGCTGCTGCTGCTCGACTCGCAGGACCACACGCGCGACATCAAAGCTCATCATCAACTCCCCGGGCGGCTCGGTGACGGCGGGCAATGGGCATCTACGGACGCCATGAAGCTGTGCACGCGCGGACATCTCCACGATCTGCTTCGGCCCTCGCCGCGTCCATGGGCGCGTTCCTGCTCGCCACGGGCACCAAGGGAAAGAGATTTTGCATGCCCAACGCGCGCGTGATGATTCACCAGCCGCTGGGAGGCGCGCAGGGGTCGGTGCGTGCCGGGGTGGAGGGGGGGAGGGGGAGGGGGGGAGGGGGAGGGAAGGGAGTGGCGTGGGGTAGAGGGGAGAGGGGAAGGAGTGCGTGAATGAGGCGGGAGGGTGGGGAACAGCAGGCATGTGCGTCTATGACGGCACTCCTCTCACTCGTACTGCACTCCTCCCATCTCCTCCCCCCTCTACTCCAATCCCCCCACCCTCCTCTCGTGGGGCTGTGCTGCAGGTCACTCCTCTCGGGCAGAAGATGGTAGCCCAAGTTGCACCTCTCCAACTCCTCACATCCATCCCACTCACCCCTCTCGGGCAGGAGATGGTAGCCCATACCGACTGCTTTCAAGTTGGTCACTGCACCGCACCTCTCCAACTCCTCACATCCATCCCACCCCCCTCCCCTACCCGACCCCCTCTCTCCCCCCTCTCAGCCCGTTACATTGGGTTGCAGGGTGCGAGATGATGTACCACATGGTGAAAGGTCTCTCTTAGCCCCCCCCCCTCTTCCTGATAACCCCTCTCCTTCCCTCCCCACCTCTCCCCCACCCCTCCGACCCCTTCCCCCCGCAGGCCATAGACGTGGTGCCTGCAGGTGCGGGAGATGATGTTACCACAAGGTGCATGCAAGGTCCCTCTAAGTCTTCTTCCCACTTCCTGGTAACCCTCTCCATCCCTCCCCTCCCCCTCCCCCCGCCCCCTCCACACCCCCTCTCTGCAGGCCATAGACGTGGGGCTGCAGGTGCGGGAGATGATGTACCACAAGGTCAAGCTCAACAAGATCCTCTCTCTCGTCCACCTTCTCTCACCTCCCTCCCCCTCCTTCCCCGTGTCCCCCCCCACCTCACCTCAACCAACCTCCCGCCTCCCCCATCGCAGGCCATACCACGTGGGGCTGCAGGTGCGGGAGATGATGTACCACAAGGTGAACGGTTCCTTTAAGTAGTCTTTCCTGTAACTCCTCTCCACCCCTCCCCACCCCTCTCGCCTCCTCCGCAGGCCATAGACGTGGGGTTGCAGGTGCGGGAGATGATGTACCACAAGGTCAAGCTCAACAAGATCCTCTCACGAGTCACCGGCAAATCAGAGGAACAGGTGCGTTGTCCCTCTCCCGCTTCTTCCTCCGCTTCCTCCCCCTCCCTTCCGCCCCCCTGCCTCTTCCGCCTGCATTCAACAAGATCCTCTCGCGAGTCACCGGAAAGTCTGAGGACCAGGTGCGTGCTCTGCCCCCTGCCTGCTCGCCCTCTCCACGCCTCTGCCTGCCTCCACTCCCCCCTCTGCCTCCTCCTCCCTGCTCAACAAGATCCTCTCACGAGTCACCGGCAAGTCAGAGGAACAGGTGCGTTCTGTTGCCCTTTCTCCCCTGCCCTCCACCTGCGCGCCTTTGCCTTCTCCCCCTGATTCCTCCGCTTCCTCCCCCTGCCTCTTCCGCCCGGATTTAACAAGATTATCTCACGAAGTCACCGGAAAGTCAGAGGAACAGGTGCTGTGCGCTGCCCCTTCCCCTCCCCCACCCCCCTCCTTCTTCCTGCCTGCCTCCCCTCCTTCAGCCTGCCTCCCTCTTCCTGCTCCCGTGCCTCTTTCCTTGCCTGCACCCTTCCTGACTCTCCCCATGCCACTCCCCTTCTTGACCCCCTACCTCCCCCCATATGCCTCTCCCCTTGCCTCTCCCCCTGCCTCTCCTCCTGCCTCTCCCCCTGTCTCTCCCTTTGCCTCCCCCCCTGCCCCTTGCCTGCTCTCTTTCCTGCTCCCTTTAATTCCTTCCCTGACCTTCTCTCCCTCCTTTTAATCGTTGGGATGCAAGTACCTTCTCCCTCCCACACAGCAGATCCCACTCAGTGTATTCCATTCATGTAATTAGTACCCTCCCATTCGTACAGTCTTCCGACCCCTGCAGCCCCTTTTTTCTCCCTCTACAAACCTTCCTTTGCCTCCCCGTTCATTCCATTCCACCTCCGCTTTTGTTTCGTCTACCTACGTTTCCACCCTTCATCCCACCTGTCCCCCTTCAATCCCCCAACCACAGATCGAGAGCGGACACAGATCGAGACAAATTCCCCGAGTCCATGGAAGGCGGTGGACAACCCCTTTTTGACCCCTTTTTGACCTCATAGAAGAGGTTAGGAATGCGGTTGTCGAAGCTGGCAATGCGATCTGTGGTAGAAGAGGTTAGGAATGCGGTTGATCGCATTGCCAGCTTCGACAACCGCAGTCCTAACCTCTTCTACCTCTCCTTGCCTGACAACCCCTGTCCTTGACAGGGGCAACTTCATGAGTCCATATGAAGCAGTGTCCAAAGGGCGGGTGGGACGGGGTGATGGGGGCCGACAAGACGACCCAAACCTGGCCAAAACGCACATCCTTCTTGATCTTGATGCCAGTTTCCCCCTGCCCTCCAAACCCTAAGCCTGTCCCTCATTGCAGATTGAGATCGACACGGATCGCGACAATTTCATGAGCCCATGGGAGGCAGTTGAATACGGGCTGGTGGACGGGGGTGATGGGGGGCGATAACCCGAACCCGGCCAAAACACACACCCTTTTTTACCTTAATACCAGTTTCCCACCTCCTCCTAACCCTAAACCTGTCCCCTATTGCAGATTGAGATCGACACGGACAGGGACAATTTCATGAGCCCATGGGAAGCAGTGGAGTATGGGCTGGTGGACGGGGTGATGGGGGCCCACAACCCCAACTCGGCCAAAACGCACACCTGTCTTGATCTTAATGCCAGTTTCCCACCGCCTCCCTGAACCTGTCCTCCATTGCAGATTGAGATTGACACGGATCGCGACAATTTCATGAGCCCATGGGAGGCAGTTGAATACGGACTGGTGGACGGGGTGATGGGCGCTGATAACCCCCAAACCTGGTGGCGCCGGTGGGGGAGGTGAGGGAGCCGCCCAAGACCAAGGTGTGGGACCTGTGGACCATCAAGGAGGCCAAGGAGAGGAAGAACCTGCCGGGGGAGGACCAGCTGCTGAAAAAGTAGTGGATATGGGGATCATGATTAATGTCGTGGTATAATTTGTGTGTACTGTATCCGATAGTAGTATGTCAGCCGTAGTTCTGTTTGCAGGGAGTTATTGCTGGAGTGTTCACTTAGAACATACTGGAAATCGTGCATACGCATACACACAATTGCACTAGTGGCTCTGCCTCCAATCATTGGTGTATCGTAGAATGGGCTAGCCTGAGCTGCTCTGGTGGGGAGGTGAGTGTCAGTCAAAAGCAGGAACAAAGAGGTTGAAACGTAAGGAGGTTGAGAATCGAAAGAGGGGCACTAGATAGAAAAGCCAAGAGCCCAAGTTATACGCGCAAGAGGTAGGCAAACATGGTGCACCACCAACAGTTGAATAACTACCGTACATTAACATCTACGTATACTGAAGGCAATTTGTATGTATGTACATATATTTCAACACACCCCTAAATTGGCTACAGCAAGAACGAGAGACTTGAGAGTAGAGATGGACGCGGAAGTTGTGGCGGTTGGCGCTCAGCGGCGGCATGTGTGGGAAGAGGCGCAAGACGAGGGGAAATAGCGAGAATGAGGAGGAGGAGGCGCATGAAGAGAAGGGAGAGGCGTGCGGGTGGGTGTAGGTTAGGCCGTGTCAGCGTTGCAGGTCGCGACAGCGCGTAGACTTGTCGCAACGGGAGACCCACTGCTGGAGCCGCTCCTACTATTGTTGCTGCTGAGTCACCGTCGCACCCCCAATACCAGCACCTCCTGCGGCAGCACCCCTATAACCAGCACTCCAAGCGCCAGCACCCTCCGACGTACCAGCACCTCCACCTCCTCCACGACCACGACTAACCCTGCGCCGTAACGACACACGAGAGGGGGGAGATACGGCTGCGGCCTCCGCTATAACAGTAGGCTCAGCAAGAGCTGTAGAGGCAGCTGGAATAGGGAGTTGGGGCGGAGCGCACCCCTCAAAGATGGGGGGGACTACCGCACCAGTAGTGAAGGCGATGGTTGCAAAGGCGGGTCTCGATTTTAGTCAGACGAGTTGCAAAGAGATCGATTGTGAGGTCCATGGGGTGCATGGTGAGGAGGGCGTCGCGGGCAGGCGCGAGGCGGTGCGGGAGGCGTGTCGCTAGGAAGTGCAGGGTGTGATACATGAGGGGGGGGGGGCGTGCGTAGCAAGATGCTCAGTAGTGCAAGCGACGTGGAAGCTAGCGTCAAGCGAGCGCATGTGGGTAGTAAGGTCAGCGACTCTGGGTAAAGCAGAGAGATCAGGGAAGAGGAAGGGCATGAGGAAGTGCCCCAGAGTAGCAGAGGAGGGGGTGGAGTAACGAGCAACAATAGCATACAGACAACTCCTTCGTCGTCGCGACTGGCGAAAGTGCACTCGCTCGGCCGGCAGGGAGGAGATTAAGAGCAAGGCGCGCGCTAGTGTCACGCGACACCCAAACCGAGTGCGCAAGCTGGGCCACGTGGTGAGCCTGTCAAGATAGCGAGCAGGAATGATGGCATTGAATGAAATATGGGTACAAAGTACTAACCCTAACTTGGGTTGTACCCCATATGGGCTACCCCACTATAGCCTACACAGAACTAACACATATATAGTTTGACACACCCCCATAGGCAAAGTGGGGGAGAACAAGGGGTCACAAGACCAGTCAAGAAAAAGGAATGCAAGCTCAGGGTGGATCACGACGTCACCACCACACTCCGAGCACAAGCAAGAGGGCCACAAGGCCAGTTCACATGCAGAGGTATATATGCAACAACAACAGTACAGTGATCACTACCTAGCAAGAGTAAACATGCAGGTATATATATATAGATCACAGTACAACAAAGTCTACAGCAAGTGAGGAAACGTAGGCACCAGGCCTAGAGCAGTGCAGAATCGCTGATGATCACCAGCTGGAAGGGCCTTGGTGAACACATCAGCCGTGTTGGCCCGCGTGGGCACGTGAGGGACACGAAGCTGACCACGCTGCTGCAACTCTCGAGCAAGGAAGTAACGCAGAGCGATGTGCTTCGTTCTGTGCTCCAGTCTGTGGTCATGGCACAAGGCAATGGCAGCCTTGTTGTCGACGTACAGAACTGGAGGAGAACGAGGCCTCTCTCCCAAGTCAGTCAGCAGGTAGGTGAGCCAGCGTGGCTCCTGTGCAGCCATGGCTGTGGCGTAGATCTCAGCCTCACAACTGGAGCTGAGAATAGAAGACGAGCGTGTAGACCGCCAAGAAACAGAGCCAGAGCCAAGGCTGAACGTGTAACCCTGTGACGACCGCTGCGTAGCCAGGTCGTCAACCCAAGAAGCGTCTGAGTGCCCAGTGAGGACAACTGAGCTCCGCCCTCCAAGCACGAGCCCCATGCCCGATGTACTGCACAAGTAGCGCAGTACCCTCTTTGCAGCATCGAAGTGCACCTTTCGGTGCCTACCAGGAGCCCACGTAGCGTGCCAAAAGGCCAAGAGGGTACGCAAGGTCAGGACGAGTGCAGGTCATCAGATACATGAGGCAGCCCACTAGCTCTGGGTACGGACCACTCGGCTCTACGGACTCGTCCGAAGGTGGAGCTGAGAGCGAGTGACCTGTAGCCAGGGGAGTGGACTGTGGCGAGGACCAAGTGAAGCCGAAGCGCTGAAGGACCTGCTGCACCATGTGTGACTGAGTCAGTGTGATGGTGCGCCGTGCTCTGTCCCGGGTGATCTGCAAGCCAAGGTAGCTGCGCAGCTCACCCAGGGTCTGTGCACGTGGTGTCTCTTCTGCAGCTCCGACTTCACAAGGGCGAGAGCCTCAGTGTCAGCAGTGGCAAAGACCAAGTCGTCGACGTACACGAGGATGTAGAACGGCGGCAACGAACTGTCGGTGCGCAGAAACAGCGACGGGTCAGCAGTGGAGAAGGTGCAACCCAAGAGCCGCAAGTGTCGTCCTCAGTGTGTCGTGCCACTCGCGCGGCGCCTGACGGAGACCATAGACTAGCCGCCGGAGGCTCCACTGGGTACCAGGAGGGAACGACCCAGTGAAGCCAGGTGGGCGGCGCAGCCAGATCTCCTCGTGCAGGCTGCCCTGTAAGAAAGCTGTGCTGAATTCAAGAGAGTGAAGCTTGGAGTCACGCTGAGCGGCGACGTGCAGCAGCAACCCGAAGAGTGGTCATCTTCGGGGTGGGGGAGAAGTTCTGGAAGAAGTCAACTCCCTGTCGCTGACTGAAGCCTCGTGCAACGTAACGAGCCTTGAAGACAGGCGGAGAACCCGGCGGCCGCTTCACCCTGAAAATCTACATGTCATCGACTACGTTCGCCCCAGGAGGGGGAACAGCGTCGACGTAAGTGCCTGTGGACTTCCAGGATGCCATCTCTGCGTCCATGGCTGTCTGCCACTGAGAGGAGTACTCAGCCGCGATCGCCTCAGTGTAAGAGCGGGGGTCGGGATGTCAGGAGCATCCGGGTCTCCCTCAGGGGCAAGCAGCATGGCCACGAGATGAGGCGCAGCGGTTGCAAGACATTCAAAGTCCTCCTTCCTGTCCTCAAGGACGTCCGTGCCAAGAGCACACTCACCCCCGACGGACGGAGGACAGACAAACTCAGACTCAGCAACAAGACTAGCGGCGTAGTCGAGACGACAAGCGGCAGCAAAGTCTACAAGCTCGGCAACTAGGGCAGACGCAGCAGCCGACTCAAACGACGGGTCAGTGACAACAGTGGCTAGCAGACGCGTGACAGTAGGACTGGCAGCACGAGTAAGGTCTGGCGGCGGGTCAGCAACGTCAGGAAGAGAGGACGCAGGAGGAGACGGCAGGGGAACACGCTGTGGAACAGAGGAAGGAC